GTGACTCTACTTCCATTTTTGTGGGTATATTTGCATGTGGATATGCAGTTGTTTCGGCATTATTTGTTGAAAATACTAATGTTTCTCCATAAATTGTCTTTGCTCCTTTGTCAAAGATCAGTTAACTATTTGTGTGGGTGTATTTACTTCCCCAAAGTGGGAGCTCAGATGCTTAGGGAGCTACCTGCTGTCATGTGGGTGGCTTGTGCTTCTCATTCAAGAGGTCATATAATCTACACACGTTCTCAGTTTCATATACCAGAGAGGGCTTCTCAATTCACTTCACTTGGCTGTAAATTTCTGAGACTTTCCTTGTTTCTAATGACCTTGACAATATCAAAGAGTACTAATTGGGTAGTCATAGGAAATCCTTCTATTAAAATTCATCTGATGTTATTTTTATTAGAATGGAATTACGTGTTTTGGGAGGAAGATCATAGATGTTAAAGTGCCATTTTGATTTCATCAAGTGTACATAAAATCAGCACGATCTATTCACCATTTATGTTGACCTTAATTGCTTGTCTGAGCTAGTGTTCTTCAGATTTTTCCACTTGAAAGTTATTGTTTTTTTAATTCCCATTTCCATATTGTACTTTTTGGAGTGAAGTAATTACATGCAGCCCACAGTTGTGTTCCACCTCCTTTGAGGAGTAGCTACATAATTTAGTAAATTTGGAATTCTTCTACATGGCAGATTGGTTTATTCTTCTTATTTATTAATTCATTCAATTAATTTATTTGTATCAGTGTGAGTTTATGAGTATTTTTATTATAATTTAGGTCATAATCCAATGTTACTGTATTTTTTGCTCAAGTTGTTCCAATTTGACCATTGTGAGCTTCATTTTCTCTCTGATATATACTACATTGTAGTGTGTGTGTATGTGTGTGTGTCTGTGTGTGTGTGTGCAGCACTTACCTTATGGCATTAAAAATTATTCCAGGCTCATCTTGGGTATTTCCTGAACTGGGTTGTAGGTATGCTTGTTGCTACCTGTCTGTCTTTCTTTTTTGTTCTCTCAACTGACAGAGCAAGGCATTTTGTGTGTATGCTAACCTATGTATGTGCTAACCTATTATATAAACATATCAATAAATATTACTATATGTAACCCTTTGTATCTAAATTAAGCTAATTTTCAGTGCTTACTAATATCTGCCACTTTAATTTGTTATCATCTGAATTGTTTTGGACTCTTCTTGTTTATCAGTAAATTTCCCCTCCAACAGTGAAACATCTACCTTCAACCATCTGTTACCTTATTTATTTAACTGGTAATTTCCAGTGTAAAACCCTGTAGGATATGTTAGTCCTTGCCGGTGTGAGAAAAGCTCTATCAACTAGATTAAAAGGTTTACCGACAGTCTTTTTGCCTTAAGTGTTAACACTCTACTCATTTCCAAAGTTACTTAGGTCAGTGCCTTTTCCTACCATTCCCTTCAGTGAGGTTATTTCATTCATCTGACATACAATTAGACTTTTTTGTTACAGTCTGTATCCTTCTGGGAATCCTCCAACATCCTAAATAATTATATTTAATTTAAGATCCACTCTATGGTTTAAAGTTTTGTGTTTTTAAAAAATGCATAATGTCGTTTACTCACCATCAAAGTATCATACAAATAAGTTTTATCAGCTTATCAGCTTAAAAATCATATGAACTTCACCTATTCATCTGTGGGCAAATGGTTTGTAAAGGAACAGAGTAAATACCTTAAGCTTTTTTGATCATGTGATCTTTGTCTTAATTGCCACTACAGCAGGTCCTCAAATAATGTCTTTTCTTTCAGTGTCATGTTCTTATAACATTGATGAGGTGACACAGAAACTTAACTCTTGTTTATATCAATTAGCCTAAGGTTAAAATTGGTTTCACTATATGTTGTTTCTGTTAAAGTTTCAGAACCTATTGGCAATGTTAAATGAGGATTTACTGTATGGGGCCAAAGCTTCCATAGACAACAGATAAATTAGTGGATACTGTGGCACTCCAATTAGGTTTTATTCACAGAAGGAAACAGCAAGGTGAATTTGTCCTGTGTGCTATAGATTGTCCCATGGACTGACATATTCATATTCTGTGTGACTGATCAAGAGTAACATTACACTCTATGGGTGTAAAATACAGTGTAGCCATTTAGTAAAATAAATCAAGTTCAGGTTTTGAACTTGATTTATTACCTGTACCCAAGGTTATTCATTGTGTATAAGATTGTGGGGGTATTTTCAGCATTCCTGTTACGCTGTCCTGTATTTCTCAAGGTGACTAATGCCCTTCATAGTGTCACCAACCGTATGTTTCCTTATTGAATGTCTCTACTGCTTTTCTAATTATAGTTTTTCTTTGAAGCTTTAATCTCCTTTTATTTTTATAATATTACTGACTTTGGGATGTATTTTCACTTTTCTTACTATGTTTACTTACTTCCATTCTGATGTGACCTCTACTTGGAAACCCTGGTAATATTACTATCATTCTTTAATACTCAACTCAGCTTTTTCTTGGCATCTCCTTAAACAGGTTTTAATTAGATTTTTTCCTCAGACACAGTATTATTTTTGGTGTCCCATAATCATCTACACAATTTTTAAACTACACTATATTAAATGTATCTTTTTCTATGTTATCCAGAACAGATGCCAGATTGTTTTTCTTTTTACTTAATTAATTCATTTACCTTTCTTCCCCCTTTGTTTCTCATATATTTTATTTATTTATTTTATTTTTTAAATATATCTTTATTGATTTCAGAGAGAGGAAAGGAGAGGGAGAGAGACAGACAGAACCATCAATGATGAGAGAGTCACTGGGGATCAAGCCTGCAGCCCAGGCATGTGCCCTGATCTGGAATCGAACCTTGATCGCCCGGATCCTAGGTCGATGCTCAACCGCTGAGCCACTCCCAGCCGGGCTCTCATATATTTTAGAATATATCTGATATTTAATAAATACTCTAGGGCACTAACTGATTCTCTCTTACTGACTTCAGTGACTTGAGTTAGTCACTGAGATGAAATTTTGCAGAGTGATTTGAGTGAGTGAATAAGTGCAAAGCGTTGACTTTGGGACACATTTAATACATAAATAGGATCTCTGGGTAGAGATAGCAAGTTGGGAGCTCATTTAGGCATTTGGAAAAATACTTTTGCTAATTGCTCTTCATATTTCCAATGCTTATTTTGGCACTGACACTGGTATGTATGGAAGAAGACTTTGTTGACCATTGCCATAATTGTGTTCCATTCATTAACTCACTTAATCCTTACTGTGACACTATAAAGTATAAACAACTATTTTCTACATTTACTCAATGATAAAACTCACAATTTGCAATCTTAAAAATAAAACTCACCCAGTTACTACTGATGGAAGCAATATTTGAATTTGAATTTTCTTTCCCTACAGCTCTAGCTCTAGTATATCTGAAAAAACCTCTCAAGATATACTGAGTAAATGAATGAATTACAGTATTGTAAAAAAACACACTATTTGTAATATAAGACATATAAAAGTTAGTTGGATACATATGTAATCATCAATAAAAAAGAATATTTCTATAGCAAAAAAATAAATAAAAATCCAAAGTTTTGAGGAATTAATTTATTAAAAAACACACAAATGCTCAGTAAATATTTGAAAAATATTTATCAGCCTTGGTCAAAAATCATCAATTTGCAACTCAGTGAACTCTCATCCAATGAAATGAACTAAAAGTAAAAGGATGTATTGCACAGAGCATTTATAGATATGTCCAAAGTAGTTTCCCCTGTGCTCCATGAAAGATAAAATTAATATTATTAAGGAAAGAATTGTTTTCAGTTGAAACACTTAATGAATGTGACCAAAATTTTATATTCTCTAAAACTAAAGAGTTGGGGGGGGGACAGCGTGTTGGTAAGTAGGATAGTGTGACTCTGGAAATTTTACTCAAATTTGGAAATCATAGTTATAATGATAAAAGGCTGCATTGGTGGGACGTTTATCTAGTAAAATAGAAACAATCCTTGAATATTATAATAGAATTTATCAGGTACAAGGGGTTTAAGGGAGACTAGAGAAAATCTACCACAATATCTAAAAAAGATCAGATGTAGGAGAATAAAATATAAAATATTTTTTAAAATAGGCTTTTATGTTATTAAAGTGAACAATAAAGGTACAACTTCTATCATGGTGGACAGTATTGCATGGGAAGNGGTTTAAGGGAGACTAGAGAAAATCTACCACAATATCTAAAAAAGATCAGATGTAGGAGAATAAAATATAAAATATTTTTAAAAATAGGCTTTTATGTTATTAAGGTGAACAATAAAGGTACAACTTCTATCATGGTGGACAGTATCGCATGGGAAAGAGCATGTATTCTGAAGCCAGAGAACCTGGGCTCAAACTCTATGTTGCTACTTCCCTGTGCAACTTACATAACCTATCTGTTTCAGTCACTAATTGATATAGTGAGAATCTCACAGTATTGTTTTGTGGACTAAAGGAGTGAATACATATAAAGTGCTCAGTACACAGACAAATACACTGCAATTATTATTTAAAATTGTCATTATTACTATAACAAATAAAAAGAAACTTGAAAATAATATTTGTTACTTGAGAATTTTTAAACAGAGCATCTAACAAATAGAAATGGGGGGAAAAAACAGATTTCATAAATTTCATTGTCCAATATATTGAGAAGCTTTAAATTGTGACAATAACTAGCCTAGTCATTCCACATTTCCATATATTAAAATATTATCAATAAATATAAAATATGAAATAATGTCAATAATAAATAACAACTGTCGCTAACAGTTATTGAAAGCTTCCAATGAGGAGGCATTCCTTTATTTCTAAAAGAACGAAAAAAATAAATAAATAATATCAAATATCTCTGCTAAAAGGCACAGCTAAATCAAGAAATAGCATGCTGGGCACAAGGTTGCAAGTATTGTTAATGAACCAGTGCTTCATGAAACAGATTCTACCAACGTGGGTTTGTATTTACATACTTCGTTTTTCAGAAATGCTCTTGTTTGGGAAGAAGAGACCTATCACTCGGTCACGAATCTGCTTAGTCTTGACACCATACACCAGGGGATTGGCTGTAGGGGGCACCAGAAGGTACATACTTGCAAAAATTATATGGACGCTTGGAGGTACCTTCTTGCCAATGCGGTGAGTTAGGAAGCTAAACAGTGCAGGTGTGTAGAAGACAAGCATAGTGCAGACATGGGCAGCACAGGTGCCCAGGGCTTTAGAGCGGGCATTCTGGGAAGAGAGCCGGAAGACTGCCTGGAGGATTCTGACATAGGACGCGGCTATGAATACTAGGTCCAATACCATCACTGAAATGGCCACTGATATTCCATAGGCCCTGTTAATGTGAGTGTTGGCACTGGCTAGCTTCACCACAGCCATGTGTTCACAATAAGCATGATTGATGACATTCCTGGTATAATATGGTAACCTCTTAATGAGAAGAGGACAGGGTAAGACCATAAGGGTAGCTCGGGTCACACTACCCAGACCCATTTTAATGACCATGGGTGTTGTCAGGATGGTTGTATAATGCAGTGGGATGCAAATAGCTACATAGCGGTCAAAGGCCATGGCAACTAGGAGGGCTGATTCAATTATGCAGAATGTGTGAATGAAATACATTTGTGCTAGGCAGATATTAAAGTCAAACATGTGAGCTTCAAACCAGAAGATACCAAGCATCTTGGGGGCTGTGGAAAAGGCAAGAGCCATGTCATTCATTGCCAGCATGCAAAGGAAGAAATGCATAGGCTGGTGGAGGCTTGGCTCTAGTTTGATGGTGACAGTGATTACACTGTTCCCCAGCAGGGTCAGGACAAACAGTAGGCAGACAGGAATGCCAATCCAGCAGTGAAAATCTTGCAAACCAGGAATACCAACCAGGAAGAAAGATGAGATGTAGTGATATGTAGAATTGCCTGTCATGTTAAAACTCAGTAAGTTGCATCCTCAGATATAAAATAGCCAGTCAAATCCCTGATGGAGCAAAGCAATATGACAGAGTTACTCTTCTATGGCCCAGCAAATAGGGAATCCAGACACAGTTTAATAGCCTACCTAAAGGGCTGACTCTTTTCCTAAACTTCTGTCAATAATCAGGTATATCACTTCGCCATTCTTAAGTTCAGCATCTTCACCTGCAAATGAGAAGACTGAGTTCACTTATTTTAGATATTTTTTCCTAAGTTTTGAAATTTTATTCAATTCTACACTGTAGTTTTTATTTTCTATTAGAGGATCAATTGGTAATATAAATAGCCTCATTACTGTGTGAAAGCCAGTATGGATTCTGTGATATAAACAGTTTTAGAGAAAAAAAAACAAGTTTTCTTTTCAAGGAAATTGATATCAAGTGTGGATACACATGCATAAACACACATAATAATTTACAGCTCTTTCAAAAAACAATCATTATTTTAATAATACTCTTATCCATAGTGAGCATAACAGAACAATCAGGAATTCAGAATAATATCTCCTAACCCAAAAACATAGAACAAACTTATAAAAATTAACGCCAGTAAATGCCTTGTTGTCAGTCAAGGGCAAATTTGTCCCTAGTTTCAATGAACTCCTTTAGAAGATCTGAAGATGGAAAGCATAACACAAGGATATAAACAGAAAAAAAAGGAATATTTTATTTCTTCATGCTGTCAAATGATTTAAAGTTGCTGCAGATAAGGACATTAGTTGCTGATAAGCCTAGTCTATTTTCTGCAAAGCCATGACTCCCTGCTGCAGACAGCCCTCCTTCGGTTTCTGGCATCCTTCCTGTCTAATGATAGTGAAGGGCAAAGCAAGTGCAATTCAGTCCTACTGATCTCAGCAGCAGTAGTTTCTTGAGACTCTTGCTCTCACCACTTTCTTTAGTTTTGATAACTAAACACTATTGTTCTTTCTAGCATCCAGTTTCTTCCTAGCATCATAATTCTGGCATATGCCCTTCACTCTTAACAGGGTTTTAAATTTATAATTGCTCCCAAGATCTCAATTCATGGTCCTGAGTGCCACTGTTGTGAAAACTCAAGATATACTGATAAATATTCCTAATGGAAATGATTCCTTGTGTAGATGTCTAAAACTAAATAATATGAATGTGTGTGTGTGGGGGCAGTCTTGTTATGGTATCCATATTCTACTATCAAACATATTCTACTCTGGGCCTATGTGAGTATGAGGTGTTTCCTTGTAAGGAGTTTAAAAATGTTAAATGAGTCATAATATAATTCAGAAAAATTCAGAACTTAAGTTTAGCTACAATAAAGAAACTTAGTGTTGTAGAAATTACTACATAAGAGATGAAGTTTATAACACAAGACAAAGGTAGGAATTTAAGACAAAATCTGCAAATAGTGAACATTCAAAGTATGAAAAGTTTTTTAAGTATTATCAAACTCCTGTTTGCAAATACTCAAATGATTGTTTCCACTTGGAAACTTGGTTGGCCAAGTTCTGCTCTTATGTTTGCTTCTCGGAGAATCAAACACACAAAAGGCTAACCCACCTTGAAATATTAATATAACATAATATAAAAGTTTTAGGTAGGGAGCATTACTTATGATTACAAACAAACAATCACTCAATAAATATGTGTAAATATTTTTAAATCATCTCTTAGTTTTTAATAAATTTACTTACAAGACGGTAACATGTTATCTATATCAAGAGAAAAGAAATACTTACAAGATCATAATATGTCATCTGTGACAAGATAAAAGGAGTAAAGTGACTTCTCCTTAATGTGGGAAACTTCCTGTCAGAGCCCTAGAACGTGGCACACAGAGGAAATTACAGAGAACTACCCCCAAATACAGTGACCCTTCCCACCTCAAAAATCTTCTCTGTTTTCTCTCAGGCTTATTTTGAAAGAAATTTCTGAGAAATGCACTTTTTCAATAAGGTTATTCTTTATGTTATCTTCAGCTGACAGTCTGCCAGGCAGCCCGAGTACCTGCCAAGACCTCTCTAATTTTCTGTTGGCGATGCCATTCCATCTGTTTGTGAACCACACAAGTGCCTTATTCCTCCTCACACCCGAGCTTTGTTATTTTGCTTGTTTCTGAATCAGTCAGCATTTCCCCTTGCCTGGAACCTGCCACCCCAGGGTAGAACAGTCTAGTGGAACACAGTGGCATTTCCTATACCTTCTCTTTTGAATTCATTATATATTTTATACTAAGGCATTATAATAATAACACATAAAGATACCCCAAACCAAATTCAGTAAGTTCTCCCACTCTCTTTCATCCAATTTTATCTTATTTGTTGGCGACACCCAGCCATTAGGACATCACAGAATTATCCTTGCCTCCTCTGTTTCTAAAACCTCAGTCCTGCAGCCAAGAAACCTTCATTTCTGTTAGAGCTCTTACCATGTGCTGTTCAGGTTTTCATTCGCATGTCATCTCCTTCATCAGGTTACGAACACCAGAAGGAAGGTTAAGAAAACTCTCAGTAGAGTCTGAAGGAAGGTCTGATGTTTCTCTATGTCCTTCACAGTCTTTTAAGAATTTCACAGATTTTTTTATTTTGCTACCAAGGCTTCTGACCCACCAGAGTGAGTTTATTCATAGTCATTACCTACCCTTCAACTAGTTCAGCTGCTACCTTAAAATATGTTTTTTCAAAATTGTTTCTGGTTATGAGTTAGATAAATATTAAAATTTTATTTGGATCCCCTTCTCCAAATCTCATGCCACAAAACCCCTTCGTTTCTCTTATAAATGTGTGACGTCATTTATATGTTTACAAATAGTTCTTTTCCATTTTATTTTCAAATGCTTTAGCTTGAATTCTATCCCACAACCTATGATATATTGTAGATGATGATAAAAATAACTAATGTTCTTTTAAAAAACCTCCAATGATCATTTTCACTGCAGCATCTAGACCAATATGCATATCTGGGAATGTTCAAAAAATATGACACTGGTAGACACTGGCAGTGAGGGCTCTGTGATTAAGTTGGTAGTTATGGTTGCTTTGTACTGAGCTATTTCAATATTTAGGAGATCCCTCTGGAAGGCTGATGGGCCCCTTGGGAGACATAAGATCACAGGGAAAAGAGGCCTGGACCAGGATGAAGCACAAAGCAGTAACAATCTCCCTCTGGAAAACCTAAGCTAACATGACAAACTTCGTTGAAAAAAATGTTTAATGACTTCTTTTTCAGCTCTGACATGTAATAAGCTCAGAACCGTGACTCGTCCTGACAAGGAAAAGCTAGGCAAACTGAATATCAATGACTCTTCTTGAAGCCATCTTAGAAATGCTGTCACAGGGAAAATCACCACCCTCAAACACCAAAAAAACCCCAAACAATCTAAAATGGGTAAAGGATCTGAAGAGACATTTTCCAAAGAGGACATACAGATGGCCGATAGACCTATGAAAGCATGCTCAGCATCACTAATCATCAGAGGAATGCAAATAAAAATTGCAATGGGGAATACCTCACACATGTCAGAATGGCTATTGGTATGATCGTGCAGTTTTAATCCTTCATTTTATTCGTGTGGTGTATCACATTTATTGATTTGTGGGTATTGTACCAACCTTAATGCTCAGAAGAAATTTCACTTGATCATGATGTAAGCTCTTTTTAATGTATTGCTAGACTTGGTTTGCTAATATTTTTCAAGGATTTTAGTGTATATGTTCATCAGGGATATTGGCCTATAATTTTCTTTCTCTGTAGTTCTATATCTGGTTTTGGAATTAGGATAATGCTGGCCTTGTGAAATGAGCTTGGAAGTCTTCCTTCCCCTTGAATTTTTTTGAATAGTTTGAGAAGGATAGGTGTTAGTTCTTCCTTGAATGTATGACAAAATTCACCTGTGAAGCCACCCTGTCCTGGACTTTTATTTGTTGGGAGGTTTTTTGTTTTTTTTAAATTATTACTGGTCTAATTTTATGTTTTAATATGTCTATTCAGATTTTCTGATTCTTCCTGACTCAGTTTTGGAAGATTGTCCGAATTATTGACATATAGTTATTCATAATATTTTCTTACAGTCCTTTGCATTTCTGTAGTGTCAGTTGTTACTTCTCTTCTTTCATTGCTGATTTTATTTATTTGAGTCTGCTCTCTTATTTCCTTGATGAGTCTGGTTAACGGTTTATACATCTTATCTTTTCAAAGAACTAGCTCTTGGTTTCACTAATCTCTTGTGTTATTTTTTAGACTCTATTTCTTTTATTTATGATCTCATTTTTAATATTTGCTTTCTTCTACTCACTTTGAACTTTGTTGTTTTATTTTCTAGTTGCTCTAAGTGTAAAGTTAGATTGTTTTATATTTTTAAATTTTTATTTGTTGATATTAAAGAGAGAGGAAGGGAGACAGAAAGAGAAACACTGATTTGTTATTCCACTAATTTATGCATTCATTGATTTCTTCCTGTATGTGCCTTGACCAGGGATGGAACCCACAACCTTGGTGTATTGGAATGACACTTTAACCAACTGAGCTACCTTTTCAGGGCTTAAAGTTAGATTGCTTATTTGAGGTTGTCTTATTTCTTGCTCTGAATTTCTCTCTTAGGACTGCTTTCAGAGTGATTTTGGATTGTTGTTTTCTCATTTTCATTTGTTTCGAGGTATCTTTTGATTTCTTCTTTGATCACTTTGTTAACCAGTCGTTGTTGTTTTTGTTTGTTTGTTTGAGTTTTGTCTTGCATCGTTTAACTAAGAGCACAGGTGATGTACACTCTTAGAATGTTGTATACTTAGAGTATCTTGAAAAACATGAATTTGTAGCACAAATTACTTGTAATCCAAGAAACCCACACTAGATGTCTTCAACCACACTCTTACAGTTAGTGCCTTTAGATGATAAAACTAAGCAGAAAACAGGGGCATTTTTCAGTGAAATTCAAATGTGTATTATCAAATGTTCATTTCAATAGGTTCCAGAGAGCTAATGC